GCAGGTGGGGGGCGATCCTCCCCCAACCAATCAGTCAATCAATAAAAGGTTTGGGCACCATTCTTTTTCTTTTCATTTCTTCCTTTCCATTACACAATCAATCAATCAGTCAATCAATCAATCAATCAATCAATCAATGAATCAACAAATCAATCAGTCTTTTCTTTTTCTTTTAACAGCGATTTCGTTAAAACGGATATTTGATATTTTTGGAACAAAATTGAAACCTACTTATTTGGGCCCCTTAAATGTCACTATTTTAGCTCCTTAGGGTATGCCTCGGATTCACCTGAACTTCAGTTAACTCCAAATGGACCCTTGGGAGATAAACGGCGATAATGTTTGGGCCAAACATGTAGGGTTCAATTTTGTTCAAAAAATATAAAATGACCATTTGCCGAAATCGCTGTTTTTGTTTTTAATGCCCGACCAAACAAAGAAAATGGTTTTTCTTTTTTCTTTTTTGTGTCTGGGGGGTGACCCCCAACATGCATCTCCTTCCCCCCCCCCCCCCCCCCTCTTCTAAACGCTCCCCCCCCCTCCCCCCAGGCTTCCTTTTCGTTCAAAAGGCCTCACGTACAGGCCTTACGACCGCCGAGGGGCCCCCGTTCCTAAGTCCGTTCGAATGTATGAACGGCTGGTATTCGTACAGCCGTTCGAACGTATGAACGGCCCGTATTCATACGGGTGTATACACAGGCGAACATGAGTTGACCCTGCCACCTTTTGGCCATGCATGGCCGCTTCTGACGGCCGCTTCCCAGCGGAAGAAGTTCTCCTCTCTCTTCCCATTGTAGGTTTAGGACATCTTCATTTTGATCTTGTGCCTGCCCTCCTCATCATCTTCATGCTTCTTCTCCTTTCCTGATTTCCCTTTCTTCTTATCATCATCATCATCATCATCATCATCATCATCACGACCACCCGGGGGTTCACCAACTCCACCAGCTCCCTTCGTCACGCAAGTCTCCCCAATGTAGCTCTCTACCCCAAGTAAGGACTTGGGTCACCTTATCGTTTGGTAGTGTGGAGCGTGGCGGTAGTGAAGTTGTTCCACTTATCTTTGAATTGATCGTGTTGTGCAGCGAGGCGGCCTATAGAAGTACGCAGTGCAGCGGATTCTCTTGCGGCTTGGAGGGCCGCTTCGGTCAACAGTCCGATTTGGTCTTTGACCTATGCCTGTTCTTCCCCCTTTTCTTGCTTCAGTCTAGCAGCTATGGCCACTCCGTCATCTAGCAGCTTCTCTCTTGCAGCCGTTTCCTTCCTCTTCTGCTGTATCGCCTTTTGTGTGGCGGCCATGCGTCTCTCTACCTTGGCCATCTGCTCTTCCTCCCCATCTAGCACTTCTAAAGCTCTCTGGTAGTCTCCCACCTCATTTTGCATCTCCTCCACGGTTGGTTCCCAGGTAAGTAGAACCTTCTGGCCCGCTCCCTCTCTTCATCAGACAGTGTTCTTTCTCCAGCATGACCGCTTTTCACTGTGGAAATTCGAAATGCTGCAAGCTTTATGGACTTCAGAAAATAAGCAGTGGCCAGATCCATGGGTTCTATGTTCATTCCATGAAAGCATGAACCTGGCCTTTTTCTTACCAGTTTCGTGCTTTCCAAGCACTGCCTCACCCTTGTTTTCTTTGCGATTCAATTCATCTCTTGGCGGTGTGCGTAAACAGTCATTGTGTTTTGTTGGGACTTTTAATGGGAAAAGAAAAGAAACTGCCAAGTTTCTTTCTTTCTTTTTTTTTTTTTTTTTTTTTTTTTCCTTTTTTAAAAAAACTCCAGGGTCTTGTAGAGGTTGGAAACTGCCAAGTTTCTCATGATTGACTGGTTTTCTTTTTTATGTTCCCACAATTTTTTTGTTGTTGGGGTGGAGTGGTGGAGGTGGGTTGGTGGTGATGTTGGCCGGGAATATGGGGGGTGGGTGGTCTCCCTCTCTCTGCAGCAAAAAACACGTTCCGGACTTTATCCAGCGCGCTGATGATTTGCAGGCAAAAGGAGTGGACGGCATCTACTGTGTGTCAGGTGAGCTTAAACTTTTTTTTTTTGTTTTTTTTTTTGTTTTACTGGTTAGTTCTTAACTTCCCTATGATGATGTATGTTAATATATAAAACTGCTTTTTTTATTTAATTTTAATTTATCCCTACCGTATTGTAAGCACCTGCAAAAACACAGACTGATTCAACCAGGGTACTCGGTTGGGTAGGGCTGCAGTGGGCCACTAGGGGAAAGCCAAGTAGAGATCGAGTAGGAATCGTTTAGGATAAAATAGGGTAAGCCAGCATTGGATGGACCTCTGGGTCGTGTTAGCCCCAGCTCAGGCCCTAATTATAGCCTTAGTGCCAATCTGCTCACCTGTGGGATAGATCTAGCGAAGGTGTACTCCGATCATTCGGCTCAGCTACGTCAAAAGAAACCGTTTCCATTTCTGTTTGGTGCTACTATATGCTTCTGTGCCATTTTGCAGTAGCTTAGGGAACTGTTTTTTTTTTTTTTTTTTTTTGAAAAAATAGTAATTTTGGAAAGTCGATATAGTGACTTTCTGCTGGCTCTAGCGCCTGTAAGCTAAGCTGGCTGATCCCGTCAGTACCCCGGGTAGAATTGTGAACTCCCCGGCCTCGTTTGGATATTCATATGTTGATTTGAAAAAAGAAAAAAAAACAGAATGAGAACACTGCTGATTTCTGAGTTTTGCCGCTGAAATATGTGCTTTGCTGAGATTCCGAGATTCCCACTTTCGCTGAGTCTTCTCAGTCTGTCTGTGTGCGTGCTTGCTGATTCGTGTGCCTGTCTGAATGGTCGTCTGCCTGAGTGTGTGTGTGGCCCTCCAGGGCACTTCTTTGTTTGGGAGAGGCCCGTGGGGCTGAAACTTCCCTCTGCCCGTGTGGCTTTGAGAGTTGGGGAGGGGAAGTTCTAAAGTGGACGAAGGGTTATCATCTTAGTGGCACACTCAAGAAGCGGTAGGCTATGCCCGTAGTACTCGAGTAGTGGTAGAGGCTAAGCAGAAGAAGACAAAGCTAGTACCTTTAGAGGTCGTGCGAATTTTAGAGAGTCCTGTAGCCCCCCTANGTAGTACTCGAGTAGTGGTAGAGGCTAAGCAGAAGAAGACAAAGCTAGTACCTTTAGAGGTCGTGCGAATTTTAGAGAGTCCTGTAGCCCCCCTAGGTCTAGGTACCAGTCCTGAAGTCGGAGTTTAGGACGAAGGGTTATCAGCTTAGTGGCACACTCAAGAAGCGGTAGGCTATGCCTGTAGTACTCGAGTAGTGGTAGAGGCTAAGCAGAAGAAGACAAAAAGCTAGTACCTTTAGAGGTCGTGCGAATTTTAGAGAGTCGGGTAGGACCCCTAGGTCTAGGTACCAGTTCTGAAGTTGGAGTCTAGGGCCTGTAGCGAATGACATCACCCGCTATATCTCCAGAAGGAGCGAGCACCTCCTCCTCATTTTGCCACGCTGCTGGAGCGCCTGGTGGTAGAGCGCTAGTGTGGACCGCTGGGAGGAGCGCCTGGCCATCCACCTTGGTTATGGTGGACTGGTCCAGGTAGGTGGACGAGGAAGCAGGGGACTAGGAAGGAGAGTGGCCAGGAGTACTTATCTGGCTACGGGGGATGTATCTTCATCTGCTTGGTAGGTGCTGCATCTTGAAGGTGTAAGTGGGGTAGTGCTACATCAAGAAGGATTCAGGGAGGAGTCAGGCATGGGGGCCTGAAGTGTGGAGGACGTAGCTGCTTTTGCGTTGTCTTTGAACATCGGGGCAAGGCCCAACTAGTAGTCCGCTATAGCAGTCACCTGTGCGAGGTGGAGGAAGGTGGAGGTCATGGCTATGGTGAACCTCTTGTTGTGCTGGCAGTTAGAGAGGGATTTGGACATTGGTTCTGGTTCAGCCATTCATTGTTATTATTATGATTATTTATTGTTGGATTAGGATATTGGCTGGGGAGAGAAGGGGGATTTGTCATTGGTCTTTTGCTGGTGTACATCTTTTTTCAAGTTTCTTGTCTTCTTTCTTTCTTCTTCTTCTTCTTCNAAATAAATAAAATAAAATAAATAAATAAAGAGGTGGAGGAGAGTGAGGAGAAGCTAAGTTTGAAGTTTTCAAAATGTTGGCAGCATTTTGTTACCCCTAGGGGTCGAAGTGTGCCATCAAGGGAAAGACTAAGTAGAGTAAAAAATTTTGCCAGCACTTCGCTACCCCCAAGGGGTCAAAATGTGCTGGGAAGACTAAGTATCAGAAAAAAATTAAAAAAAAAAAAAAAAAATTGGCAGCACTTCGTTACCCCCACGGGGTTGAAGTGTGTGCCGAAGGCAATAAGAGCTAAGTCCTAACAGATTTGAGGTGCCGCAGAAAATTACGAGTTTTCAGAAAAAAATAAAATAAAAAAAATAAAATAATAAAATAAAATAAATCAGAAAGTGAGAAAAGATGGTGGGTAATAGAATAATTCGAATATTTGGACAAAAAGAAAAGATTGAGATCAAAGAGAAAGAGGAAAGAAGAAAAAAAATAGATGAGGAATGGAAAAAGATTGAGGTGGGGAGGGATGATGGGGTTGGAGTGAAAGGGTGAATGTGAAAAGAGGAGAGAAAGAGAGAGTGTGGGAGTGGGAGAGGAGAGGTAGGGTTAAAAAGATGATGGAGTGATAGGGGAAGGGAGAGAAAAGGGGTTGGGGGAGGGTAGGTTAGTGGTGGGAGGTGATACCCGGCTCTTGGATGACCAAGAGCAAAGATGTACCAAGATCCACAGGATCTTGGCCTTCCAAGTGCTGCTGGGTGGCTGAGATCTGGATCAGCCACCKTGCTGCCACAGTGACACAGCCCCCTAGGCAGGGGGGAAGATCTTGCAGTGGTGGCCAACAGCTGCTGCAGCAGCAATCAATGTAGGAAAAGAATAATAATAATAATTATAAAAATCTGTAGCGCAGCCCCCTAGCCAGGGGGGTCTTCACCAGCCACAGCAAGCTGCCACGTGGCACTGCAGATGGCCACGTGCACGG